AATACTATTTTGTTCACCAGGTCATCTGAAGAGTGAGTTAAACCTAACACACTTCAAGCTACATCGAGGGAGCCGGTTATGGCAGATGTATGAGAACTCACGATTGTGGAAAGATATCAACATTGGGTGAGATAACAACCAGAATTTAACTTTCTTTCAGATACCTAAAAACGTAGAAATAAAAACACAGGTCAAACATTTGACCTTGCACAGCGCTATACACCCTTGATGTTGATAGGTCTGTCGTCGAACGTTTCGGGCTATTGAATTTCTTGAGTTAAGATTTATATACTTTTTAAATATCATTACAGAGAGAGAGAGAGAAAAAAAAAACAGTTAATTTTTTTTTCCATTTGCTTATTACACTCATCCTTCACTATCAGTTTTACCATCCAATGATTTTGTGTATAATACCCACAAACATCTAGGTTCTACTATTAATGAAATGATATTCCATATACGATAGTAGACAGTAAAGAAAAAAGTATCGACAATATAACACATAACAGAAAAGACTGCAAGACGTAGAAAAATAATGAAAAACTGTCCAAAACTGGTAAAACACACATCTATAACAAAAACCTTATTATTATTTGCAACGTTTCGGACAGAAGTCCTTCGTCAGGCAATTTAAACCGTGTTACATAGAAAAAAGGCTTAGACAGAATCATTGAAGGGTTAGAATATAGAGATTCTAAATTACGTATGCACTGCATGGAGCACGTTAACAAAAATGTTGTTAGAAGGAATATATTTCCCTGATCATTATTATTAAATTACTGTTTTATTTTTTGAATTTATGTATATTATTTTTCTGTGTCCGTTTAATTTCTAAAATCCAATTTCTGTCACTTTAATACTTGATTTCCATTTTTCAAACTGTTTATGGAACCGCTTCAACAATGTTCCTTCTGACAATATATTTACTAACGTGCTCCACGCAGTACGTACGTAATTTAGAATCACTTTATATTCTAACCCTTCAACGATTTTGTCTAAGCCTTTTTTTCCTAATGTAACATGGTTTAAACTGCCTGACGAAGGACTTCTGCCCGAAACATTGTAAATAATAATAACGTTTTTGTTATAGACGTGTGTTTTACCAGTTTTGAACACTTTTTTTTTTCAATATAACACATTCGGTAATCATGATTTTCTCCATCATGAATCTAAACACTTCGAATGTTTTGAAACCAAGACTCTAGGGATTCAGTAGGATTAAATGAAAAAAAAAATTGCAATATGTTCCCCTAAATATCAAATATGTAACTACTCGCGTAAAACATACACCAGTTATTTCGTAATTTTAGCACTATTTCTCCGGCAAAACGTTTATGTTATTATTTTACAGAAGTTATAGTTTGGTTTCATTGCGTTACTTAAGTATGCTGCTGGGGAAAAAAAGTTAGTTTTATTAATTCACAAAAACTACATTCAGTGTTGAGGGTACGTGATCAATAGGTGTCTTATTTGTTTCATCTTTATGTATTTATAGATTATTGGGTTAATTCTGATTAAGTTGGATCTATGTGCAAAGGCTATACGCTAAAAACAGATGATATCAAATGTCTGATATTGGTCCATAAATCCGTGAGGAAATGATAATTCTATGTTCTTTATTTTAATCTCTTGTGATTCAACAGATGGAGCCACGAGAGGAAAGAATACTAAGATTTTTAAACTTTTGAGTTCATTTGTTATGCCTTCATATTATCCAAAGGAACTAAAAGATATATAAGTTTCGACTATGGTGTATCGGTCAGTTAGCAAAAAGTTGTAGAAATGTTAAAATACGAGATATATAAAGTTAACTGTAACAAATTCTAGCTGAAAGAAAATTAATTTTAGGCCTAATAAAAAAATTACTATTAACCCGTTGAAATTTGTTGACATTTAAATTTTTTATGTTTGTTTTCATATTTTTAATTCTTTCTATATACTTTATTCGACAGCTCTCAAGGTTATCAAACCTTTCACTTTCCATTATCTAACATTCCAACCAACTGGATAATCACAGCCTTTGGAACGAACAGTAACACGGGTTTTGGAATTATTGCTCCTGTACTAGAAGTACGTATGAAATCCTAAAAAGTTAATAAGTTAAATTAATCTTAAAAAAGAGAGTAAAAAATGTTTATAAATTTACTTTTTTTAATAAAAGCAATTTTTCTTGGCTTTATGAAAATACATTTCAGACTCACAACTTTAAATATTAATTATGTAGATATGCATCTATGCGCAGAGAGACCTTGTGTAGTTTTCGCAAATATCAGAAAAAACAACAACTGTTCTCACGTGTGTCAAATGTTTTAACATATTGCTTCTCTATCCTTACAAAATCAAAGCAACATATTGTTTACCTAACCTCGCAAAACAAGCCAACGAATTAATACTAGAAATAAACGACTTTCTAACACTAAATTGTTGTTTTTTATTTAATTAGACAAAGCTTTGTATTGTCAGTTTCGGTTTGTGCTTTAGTGAACGCTTCTGAAGAAGCTGTAAAGCGAAACGTTGAGTGTCTAATTAGATAAAAACAACAATTTAGTGTTTGTAAGGTCTTCCATACAACATTGTGCACTACAGGGACTAAATAAAATCAACATATTGTTGTCCTAATCTCGCAAAACAAAGCAACCCACTGCTGTCATAATCTCGAAAAACAAACCAAAGTATTGTTTTCCCAATTTCGCAAAATAAAGCAACTTATTGTTGTCTTAACCTTGCAAAACAAAGTAACATGTTGTCCTAATCTCGCAATATAAATTAACGTATTGTTATCCTAATCATTTAGCAGAGAGCTTAAAGCGTTGTCGTTGTGATGCACATATATAAACATTTTGCAAAAAGCCTCAAGCACATACAAAACTAACATAGTAGTTAAAATATCGTGGTTACACAAATATTCAAGAAACTTTTTAAAGGATTTGAATTTCAAAGTTTATTCATTAGCATAATGAATACATATATATTATTCATGAATTTGAATTGTTTTAGTGATTTGACCCTGATAAGATGTTCTTTTCAAATCTGTTAAATACTATTACATATAAAAAAATTATTTATTTAGTTTTCAAGTGTGAAGTCTTTCTTTATGAACGTCGAGATGCCACAAATATGTAAAGAAGGAGAACAAATCGGAATTAAAGTTACTGTTTGTAACTACAAATCAGTGGAGACTGAGGTAAGTCTAAAGCAAATTACTGTTGGTCTCAAACGTATTTTATATAAAACTAGTAGGTGAAAGTACCTATTAATTCTTTGTATAGTTTGAAACAAATGACTTTAGTTTACTGAAATATATTATTACATTTTAAATAACCAGTTAGTTTCTCAGGCCTGTAAGAGAGAGAGCAAGTGACGTAAAGCAAACGTGAGATGGGTGATTCTATTAACAGAAAAATAAGTGCAACAATTTTTTATTTTTCAACCTAGGCAGTTGCCTGCCTGCCAAAGTCGAGGCTACTTGAAAGAGAGAATTTTCAATGTCTAATTTTTTCGTTATGGTAGTTTTATAGTTCATACTATTATAAAACCTTATATAGCCTACTTTATTACACAGCGACACGGATAACGTATTTATCTTCTTCAATTATAATCCGTATTGATAATAATTCCACCAAATCTCAAGAACTCGAAGTGAACGAGCTTTTTCACTCTGCGCATGCGTTGCAGGATACAGAATTAATACAACAATGTGCTATTTTTGAAAAGTGCACAAGTAAACAACATAGTTTGGTCATCCTTCATTTCATTAACACATTCCTATACAGATAGATAGATGGTTACTCTTTCTATGTGTTTATAAGAGAATCGTAACACTTTGATTTTATGCAGGTATTCGTAAGCATAGCCAAGTCACAAGATTACAGCTTTGTTACCCTGGAAACCTACGGTCGTCAGACGGAACAGGAACACCAAGTAACGGTTAGTGTCAGTTTACTACATGGTTCCTGTTTTGTGTGTTTTACTATTAAAATGTTCGTGGAGTGGGGTTACATTTATAAAAACTACCCTACAAACAGTTCCAGAAAACTTGTACTTCATGTAACAATAAATTAATTAATTTGATGGCCGTGCGGAGCGTCTCAATGGCTGCGAGGTTAAATGTAAGCGGGTTAAGTGTATTCTACGACATGTGATACCAACCAAACACCTGTAGTACAAAATACACTGTTAGTCGAATGGATTGATAAAAAAAAAGAGATAAACCGATCGACTTATCAAATAAGAGATACCATATATAGCAACGCTTTCAAAACGTGGGTATCGGGGGCAAGGATTAAAACTCAACAGAGTTTTGGTATACTCTAACTGTTTATAAACAAACGAAAAAGTTCATACACGCTTCTGTCTGAGGGATGACAGATCCATTATCCAAATAGCTTTCACTTTGCTATGCATAGTATTAGCTTCCTCTCCGTTGCGTATCTGGTGACGTTCGTCCGTACTTCTTAATGAGGTTTAAAAAGCTTCCCACGCACTCACACACTTTACTCTTTTAATTATATAGCGTGAACAAACATGTACGGTTTGCAATGGTAAACGAGTCGGTCTCTCGCATTTTTTTATTCATCGTGTATATTTTGTGTGTGTTTGCTTATATTATCAAATAATATTGTTTTACTAGCTGGAGTACCCGTCTCCTGGACGGAAGTTATGTAAATTCATGATTAATGAAACGTTATCTTAGGACATGAAAAGTTGCGTCCCTTATATGTAATTGTACAAAAAAAAAAACGCCCATAAAACCGTAAAATACAAAATGCAAAATTGAACACTTTATGTATCTCCGCATGGACTCAATGAACATCCATACCAAATTTGGTAGAAATCCAAATAGAGGCGACGAAGTAGTGGTAAAAAACGCCCATAAAAACCACAAAACTGATCATTTGTATGGACCTAATGAACCTCCATACCAACTTTGGTGAGGATCCATCCACACCCTGCGAAGTAATTACATGGACATACAACAGACAGTACTATTATATTTATATAGATTCTTGGACCGTTCTATATACAACAGCTAGCCAATCACAACCCTACTTCCGAAACTAAAATAATGAGTTGTTTGACATAATTTAACAACGAATAGCTATATTATAACAAATAAAACTATTTGCTTTCTGTTGTAATTATTGGATTTTAAATTAGTTTTTTTATCGATTTTAACCATGATTTTTGAGAGGGTTTTATTCATTTATTTATTTGTACATAATAATCGAACATGACAAGGAGACATTTTTAAAATGATCAAATATATACGCCCCCTGTTGTAAGAGCGAAATCGAACTAACTATGAATTTGTTTGAAAATTTGTTTATATCGTATTATTTTGGATGATTTTTTTAATGAATTATACAAACTAAAGGTTGTTCTTTTTAGCAACTTTTCTAAATTTTCTTTAAAAACATTATTTCCTTTCGTTTTCACAATGAAAACAAAATCACCAACGGGAAATTCTTAATCAAGACGACTTCTATACTTGTTTTTACAAAAATTCAAAATTTTTGGTTGGAAGTTTCGACGTTAGTGCGATGAAGTAACTTGTATAAGTCAATGTGATTAGCATTAGCATATTTTACGCACTATAGTTGTATTAAACATACTATTCGTAAACTTTAAATGTAGTCCAGATTTGATTGAAATAATCGTTCTAGAGGTTAATTTCGTCACTTAAACTAAAGTAAAATTAAAAAAATAAAACGAGCATTAGTAATGCGGTTTACCATTAAAACTACATTTTTCTTTTTTAATGTATAAATTGCAAGATATTTGAAGAAGTCTATTCAGTGTTATTTGTGATAAACCTATACGTTTTATGGTAAAAAAACTCTCTCAAGATCCAACAGTTTTGAGCGATAAGTGATTTAAGAACAATAAAAAATAAAATAAATATTTATAAATTTATTTGCTAATTTTTTTTGTTGCAAAATTGTTTAAGATTGCCCCAGGACAATGTGAAGTGATATATTTACCAATTGTGGCCGTTCGGCAAGGGGAAATGAACGTCACTGTTATGGCTAAAACTCAACAGTTTAAGGATCTGGTCATCCGTCGCCTACACGTAGAAGTGAGTGTGTGTGTTCAGTAATTAATATTTTATGTATCTAGAATAACTGATGATGATGATAATAATAATAATAAACGTAACATATATTTTAGTTGCTTAATTTTAACTATCAATGTCGAACTTCTGTTTAAAAAATAACACCAAAAAAAAAACGGTTGTCAATATTTAGGCCTAACGAAATAAGTTTATAGGAAAGTCTCTAACGTTATTTCTTTGTATGGTCTCATTTCTAGATTACATTCGAGTAAGCTTGAGTCTGAAGATGTAGATTAAATTTTTAATGCTATTCTTTGCCATAAAAACTTCAATCGTACATTTTTTCTACATAATATATAAATTTTATTTCGCTATCTTTTTATCTTAATTTTTCTAAAGGTAATCCAATATGTTAAACTCATTCAATTTGAGTTCTCTTATTTCAGCCTGATGGAATCCCTCAACATCGCCACACCTCGCTTCTTCTGGATCTAAGCCAGGGGTCTTATTTCATCAAGTATTTAGAAACTAACATTAGCAAGCCACAATTTTTATCTGGTCAGAAAGAACGACCTTACGTACCTGGCTCTAATAAAGTTAAATTAACTGTTTCAGGTAAAAAGACTGTATTTTAATTATTCCACGCCTAACATTGAATTTTCTATATACATAAAATATAAGTTAATTATTTCTTCCTTTACTGAAATTCTAGACAGTAAAACATAGTAGAATGTGAATCTTCTAGTACTAGCAGTGCATGGTATCTGCCTTAGTATTTTTTTTAAGATGAGTGACGTTTAAGTCTTGGGACAAAAGGAAAAAAAATCATGACAGAAGGTGTCCGTAGGAACCGCGATCGTACAACTTAATAGTTTGTATCAAAGCGTGAAAAGCATAGTTATTTAGGTGGTTTTAATATTACAGCTAATCATTAATAGTTCTGGATAGTTAGTGATGTATATGTTTTTATTTAATAAAGTATAGATTTATACGAAATAAACTTATTGTCTCTCATTCCAGGTGGTGTTGTAGGCCCTGTTTTCTCGACCATGCCTGTAAACTCGACAACTTTACTTCGTAAACCTTGTGACGGTGGAGAGCAGAACATGTTTAACTTCGCTGCCAATTTATACACTCTTCTATATATCCGTCAGACTAATCAGAAGATACCGGAAATGGAGAGAGAAGCGCTGCATTACCTAAATATAGGTTTGTTTTTGCTTCGTGTTATCAATGAAAAGTGTTTGGTTCCACCATGTAACAAAGGCTTAAGACGAACTATCCTTGTTTTCTGTTTTTTGGAGATCTAAATTACATGAAGGTTTTGGCCATTTCAACTTGTTTTATTAATAAATTGAAAGCTGAAATACCCATCAACTGATGGGGAATATTTAAACTTAATTAAAACAATGTAAGTTTAACAGTAATCATATATTTTAAAGTAATAACTTAAACATAAATTTTATCTCAAAATTTTAAAATCATAACAAAGTTTCTTCATAAACAACATTTGCAGTTTGCTTTCCTTCTACCAACAAATGAAGATTTTGAGGTGAACACCCTAAATCATTGACCATGAGAAAAGCATGGTTGTTTGCGAAATAATCCAGCAACTTTCATACTTTGACCTTGAATCCCTTTAGAATATTCAACATTGTCTGAAGTGTTAACCTGCCAAGATTACTTGAGATTGACTCACTAGGCTGGGAGTAATTAACCAACAGGCTTTACAAAATAGAAATAGGGTTAAGTTCAATTTTGACCTCCTTAAGATATTCCCAATAGTTCAGAGTGTTTACATTACAAATCTTGGTCCGGATTATCACAATAGGCTTAGAAGAGTTAGGGTGCAAACAAACACACATTTTGTCTTTATATATAGACTACTCGAGATTTCTATAAATCATAGTTATACTGCGAGGCTCTTAACATTGTGACATTCGCCCATATTTCGCCATATGTAAAACTTGAATTCCTATTCAAAGGGTTGAAAGTTCCCTTTTCAAAAGGAACTTTCCGTGCATCGTCTATCAAACTGCATGCCCTATTTTAAATAGTGTAAAATTTGAGAAAGAAATAAACATTTGTTATTTTTCCAAGGATAGGACTTAAACTCTAAATATACTTACAAAATGCAAAGGCTAAGAAACATTATTATTTATTACGGATAATTTCGAATTAACGTCTGGTAACGCTTGGAAATACCATTAAACAAATATTTAAAAAAAAAACAAGTAACGAACTTTGGGATCTGATAAGTAACAAATAACTTCGGGTGGTTATACATCAGCTTATCTTAGATGAAATGAGGGCCGCAGCTGGTATTCGACTGAGTATTATGATGAGTTTCTCAATTTTTAATTACAAAAAATCAGTAAAAGGAAAGTTCAGTTGTATGAATAAGTTAATTCAGAATTCCACTCAAATGCCTTTTTTTTTACCCAGGCTTTTCTTTTATTATTCAACTCTAAAACTCCCTTATATAGAACTTGTAATGGCGTGCCCTCTGACCGATAACATTTCAACGGTATGAGTGAAAAAATACACAATTAAAATTCAAAGACTAGCAGGCAAATCTTTGTGTAATTAGTAAAAAAGTAAGAACTCAATGTTGTAACATCAAGTAAAAAACGTAAAATTATTTATAGTTTGCACTGTAGCCAATATGCACCGTTAGAGGGCGTGCCATTCTAAAAGTAAAGGGCAGTGGAAGACTAACCCAGATACTGAAAGCAAAGTAGTTAGATTCTAAAACAGGTAAATATTCCAATGGTAAAAGTAAAACCTTAGAACGTTATTGTTAAACTAAAATATAACCATAGAACACAACTCACAGTAACAGCCTATCCTACTGGTACCACACATACACAACGTTCCTCGCATAAGATTATTTATCGTGCCTTATAAATCGAAATGAAATGAAATTAATGAAATGTGTATATTTTATTTAACTCTTCGTTTAGAACGATATTTAGTCTTTTATCAAAAAATTGATTGCTTATAAGTTGTTAAAATTATTAGACCTTGATCTAATATGTGTTACTGAATATTCATTTCGGTAATTGATAATTATATTAATATCGTGGACGTCGCCAGGACTTGTTTATTTTTTTCATTCCTGAAAGCAGTAACACATATAGGCTTAAGTAAATGTCTGTTAGTAGTAGTCACGCTACATGATCAATCTGACATGTTATGTTCTTTAACATGTCAGACTGAAGAAACAAATTATCAAACGAAAAACGTTACGATTATAAATTTAGAACGTCACTTTCGGCAGTTTCTGTAGCATTAGTTCTAATGAATCCAACGCCCCTATCCACGACGCCTGTGGTTGTGATACAGTTACACTCCTGAATACGAAAGACATAAGATATTTAATGCTTTTTCTTCTTGTTGTTGTTTATTAAAGAGAAAGAAAAAGAAATATTTGCATGCAACCTTCATCTCTACCAAATATAACAATTGATAATGTCGAGCAACAAGAAAGAGGCCAAGTCAGGTTTTGCTGCAGTGACCTGTAAAATGTTACTGACAAATAAACGTGAAGCCCATTACATCATTCGATTAACCACTTGTCACTGTGTTATACCGGTTTCGGGTAATTTCACACTCCACCAATAACTCTATACAAGGCTAAATCGAAAGAATAAGACTAAGCCTTGTTTGTTTGGAATTAATTACAAAGCTACACAATAGACAATCTGTGCTCTGCCCACCACGGGTATCGAAACCCGGTTTCTAGCGTTGTAAGTCCACAGACATACCGCTGTACCACTGGGGGCGACTAAGCCTTGTGTAGTGTATAATATACACTCTACCACTATATGAAGCCTGTTGTTATTCATTTAATTTGCAGTTGTCCAGGATTACTGATGAGAGATGGAATTCCTTGAAACCGGTATACTCGATGACAAGTAGAAAATCGAATGATAGATTGGGTTTCACATTTATATTTTAATATTTTAAACAGCTTGTCAACTCACGAGAATAAACTAGTAGTATCAATGCTTCATATTATTGAAGTTCTTACATAAATATTGAATCATTGTGTTAGTCAAAGGCATCTCAAAATATCGTACATATAGTAAAATGTTAAGTTATTCGGCGATGAATGACAACAAAAACGTTGAACAAAAATAACTACTTAATTTTTGTGTGGAGATAAAGTGTAATGACCGAAAAGATTGTTTTATTAAATAGAATATTAAACAATCTCTTAAGAATTATCAAATTTGTATCGTGTCCTTTTTTTCTGATACATCGGGTATAAGAATGAAAGAAAGATGTTGAGAATAACACGAATTTCTTCTGTTTCTACTTGTTTACAGGTTATCAAAATCTTTTTATTTGTTTACAGGTTATCACAATCTTTTTATTTGTTTACAGGTTATCACAATCTTTTTATTTGTTTACAATTATCACAATCTTTTTTACTTGTTTACAGGTTATCAAAATCTTTTTTTTTTACTTGTTTACCGGTTATCAAAATCTTTTTTTTACTTGTTTACCGGTTATCAAAATCTTTTTTTTACTTGTTTACCGGTTATCAAAATCTTTTTTTTTACTTGTTTACCGGTTATCAAAATCTTTTTTTTTACTTGTTTACCGGTTATCAAAATCTTTTTTTTTACTTGTTTACCGGTTATCAAAATCTTTTTTTTACTTGTTTACAGGTTATCAAAATCAGCTCAGTTACCAGAATGAAGATGGATCATTTAGAATGTTCCGGTGGAATGACAAACCCAGTGTCTGGTAAGTTTAAAAAACATATCTCATTGGCATGAAAAGCCGAATTACTCAAGAACTGAATACGTTTATTATTAATTTTACACGTGTTAATGAACATTGAAGTTGTAAATTATGTTTTTAGACGAAGAAATGTGATAAAAACATGAAAATAAGCTAAGAATTATATTACTTTATTTTTAAATGGTTAAATACTTGTTTCTTAGCTGTTTTCTTTTTTCGTGCAAACATAATTTTATTATACACCGTTCTCGTTGAAAGTATATATAGCCGACTGAGCTATATAATTAATATTTATAGCCTAAATTGGAGTTGCGTGTTTTCTTTCGGTAATAAATGTGAACCGAGAAAACATTGCTTTTTTCTTTCTTCATTCTTATTAGTTTTAGTAGAGTTTAGTATTGATGTGAGTAGTCTCAAATTATCAGTGCTCTATATTTATATACATGTATTTAAATTTGAAATGGATACCAAAAATGGAAATTAGGTTTTCAATATGACGGATGGTCATGTCACAGTCTGACAAATTTTGGCAATACTCTGGTACTGTAAAATTTAGCACTACATCATTGTTTCGTGTGTAGTGTAATGTCACCAAAAATGGATCGCTTTAGGGACGTAAAATATTAATAAACTCTGGTCATACAGGTGTGTTCAAATCGGGGATTTAGAATTTCCGATATGGGGATACTTCCTGTACTTAATGTTATTGGAAAACAAATTAATATGAATAACCTTTTGGATCCAGGACCATTCAAAAAGAGGTTTGTAACAAATCGTACCCCAGCCGTTCTAAGCCAAGTGTGGCGTTCCTTAACAGTTGGGATTCCACAAAAAACACAGACAACAGCACGCAACATAGTCCAGAAGGATCTCCTTCTGGAAAAGAAACCAACAGGGTATGGGTTCATTAAGATAAGGCTTCTAGTCATTCTACTAGTTTAACCGGCTCACACCTCAAGCCAATGAAAAATGAAACGAGTATTCATACTATTCCATACGATGACATACCTGTCAAATAGTTGTATTTCTGTCTAATCGGACTGTTGAATTCGACATTGGGAAACCTTCGTCCTCATACACTCGATAAATTATGGAAAGTCGGCAAGGAGTAGTGTTGTGCTTGGGAAACCTTCGTCCAAGTGGTAGTGTTGTGCTTGGGAAACCTTCGTCCTCGTACACTCAATAAATTATGGAAAGCCGGCAAGGAGTAGTGTTGTGCTTGGGAAACCTTCGTCTAAGGAGTAGTGTTGTGCTTGGAAACCTTCGTCCTCGTACACTCGATAAATTATGGAAAGCCGGCAAGGAGTAGTGTTGTGCTTGGGAAACCTTCGTCCAAGGAGTAGTGTTGTGCTTGGGAAACCTTCGTCCTTGTACACTCGATAAATTATGGAAAGCCGGCAATGAGTAGTGTTGTGCTTTGGACCTTGCAGCCTTACGACGTAGCCTTTTGTGGTGAAAACTACCCTGCAGGGTTTTTGTCAATATTCACGGCCGTCAGATAGAGCACGGACTTAATTAAGGCTCCAAAACATTTTGATATAATATATTCAACATCTGTATATGTCATTATAATGGTTTGAAGTTACGAAATTTTGCTTTCATTGTTGTGTACCAAAAACGAACACTTAGGCTAAATTTTACCTAAAATGTAGAGAGTAACTCTCTTCTTCTGGCCATTGTACCGTTTCACATATATTTTAAATACTTGGATTGACCATTCGTAGACATAAAAGTTGGAGAATATTTGAGTATCGTAATTGTAGTTATTTTTATATGTAAATTAAATTTTTACTGTAAATGATTATTTTATTCACTAGGTTCCAGTTTGTGTTATAATTTTTTGTTTCTTAGGTTAACCGCGTTCTGTGTTCAAGTATTTCACAAAGCAGTCTTGGAAGATTGGAAAAACTTTCTTTTCATCGATCCAACAGTAATTTCAAAAGGTATCAAGTGGTTGTTGAATTACCAGTCACCAGATGGCGCGTTTTATGAAACAGACCTCTTTCCTTATGACAGGAAAATGAACTTGACAGTAAGTAAAGATGGAAACAGAATCAGACCCCAAATGTCTGGATACAAGTATTCCTATGTATTTGTATATATATAAGTATAGTGCGTTTTGTTTTTTTTTTATTTTATTTTTTTATTATATTTTTTTGTATTTTCAACAATAAATACAAATTTCAACGAATAAAATAGATATGTAAATAGTATAGTGAACAGGTTCCCCATTCTGTAAGACTGGAAACCTTCTGTAGAGCCCAAAAAACATTAGATAACAAATACATTACTGTTAGTTTGGCATTCTCAACTAGAATTTGTATTTCACATAAATACAAGAAATATAAATAAATAAACCGACAAATAACACAATTTAAATGTATTTCAGTACTATTAATACGATGTTGCACTTTTTTTTTTTAGAAAAGAAGATAAATCTAGACAATCAAGCTCTTATCGTTAGTAAACGTGTTTCATTTTTGTTTCTGTCGTGAAAAGAAATTTTTGCGCAAAATTCGTACCTTACAAGTTACGTAGTGTTGATTATTGAGCTTAATTGTTGCGATATTTCTGATTATTAAAATTGAATTTTCAATAATTTACGTCTTTGTTTAAACCACTATAGTCCTTCACACCTTACCTTTGATTGAGGAAGTTTTAGGTTTAGTAATTTCAAGATCAATTTTCATATTTTATTATCTTCTCACAGACAGAACGGATTGGAGACATTGTACGTCACAGGAATATCTCTCTTACAGCACACGTTCTCATCACGTTGTCGGAGGTGAAGGATTTGAGTGGAGTGAGTGTTAAAATGAAAGTTTGAAAATAAAATAAAAATGGTACAGAAAATTGTCTTTTAATTTTTGAAATACCCTATAAATTTTTCATTTGAGAATTTTTTTTAATATCAGCTACTATATATTGTCCATGTTTTTTTTTGTAACTTCGTCAACTGTAAGCTAGAAAATAATGATTTGCTGTCAAATGTGTTGTTTAAAAAACAACTTTACAGGGTATCTTAAAGCCGTTCTGTTTCAAAGAACTTCTGTGGATCACAAATTGAGTCAAACAATCGTTTTACTAGTGTTTTGTTTAATAGGTACCATTTTCGGCTTTGACAGCGACTATGAACCAAGTAGTCGCTTTTTTTAAATAATGTATTCATCTCTGGTGAGTGTCATAAGTGTTTATTATCAAGCACTATTTATTATTTTATGCAGGAACTCGGAGCAAGGGCATCAACAAGCAGAACAGCAGCACAGAGGTATCTTGAGAAAACAATCCACATTATAAAGAGCTATGAAGATCCCTTTGAATTAGCCATTGTAGCTTATGCTTTAACGCTGTCTTTCAGTAACCATGGTGATGAAGTTTTTAATCTTCTGGACTGGAAGCTGAAAGAATCGAGTAAGAAATACGAAGCTCGGTATTCGTTTTTATATAGTGTTTTTTTTAGCAAAATACTTTTAAATTAATTTAAACTAATATATTGTCCAAATAAGCAAAACATAACTATCTGTGCTATCCTACTACTAAGCGTACTTGCACGTTATGGTTTCTAGATAGAGCGCCATCTAAAAAATGTAAGATACATTAAAACTATTAAAACAAAAAATCTATAAATATTATAGGAAAAGTTATTTTTAATATTAATATCACAGATATTATGTTGTAATGCTTAGATTAAAATATAATATATATCCTTGTACACATACTTATACAACCTTTAGTTCAAATCGAACGCGGTTGTAAATATATTTAGCCCAAAAGTTTCAAGAACCAGTAACCCTCTTCAAACGATAAATTTATAACACAATACATAAAATCGAATAAAAAGTATACGTTAACGAATATATTCCTTGTAATATTATAATATTGAAAAATAAAAATATTATGACACTATTGATAGTTAGGGTTATCAAATATATTATATGCTGTAATTTTTAATGTATATATTTATATGTTTCTTTATTTTAATTATTAACATTTCTTTCCTGCTAGAGAGATATGCTTTATGTGGGCGTTTTCTTTTAATTTGTGTCCTTTTTGTGTAATAGAATGATTTTAGTTTAAAAAATACTTGTTTAGAACACATTGTATTATCTAGTATGTGAATAAAATTGAGTTGAAATGTTAATTTATGTATTGTAGGTGGAATGAGGTACTGGGCATCTGAGCCTGTTCCTTCTCCTCAAACCTCCATAGTAAACAATCGACCTTATCTTTTACCTAAATTACCTCACAAATACGAGGCCTGCAACATTGAGACGACAGCGTACGGTCTGTTAGTGCACGTGGCAAGACAGGCTGTCATTCAGAAGGAGATTGTTAAATGGTTGGTCGCTCAAAGGTCACATGATGGTGGATGGGCTTCCACTCAAGTAAGTACGTCTGATCTACATATTTGTCATACCTGACCTGACGGGAGAGATTTTGGACCTAAATGGGGGGTCGGACTTAATTATTGTGAATGTCTTGTGTGTACTGTATCCCACAGAACAAACAGAGACTAATTTAATGTTAATCAAACGTCGCAAAGGAATGTTGATCACGCAAATACGTTCTCTTCTTCCACATAACAACAATTATTTTGTTTAATGAAATAAACTTTATTTTAGGGTATGTAATCAAACTCGATTATCATAATACACCTATTATTTTTTTTTTAGTCTAATGATTTGAGTAGCAAAAGGCTAATCGTTGGCGTTGTTACCATATATAAACAAAAACGTCACACAAGTATGACCAATGACGTCACACATAGTCTCAGCTCCATGAACAATGTTTTGCCAATATGGATAATGACGTCACAAAGTTTTACCAAGTAAACAACAAGTGACATCATGTAACGTAATCACTTGGTGTTGTATGGATCTATTTATTGTTTAAAACACCGAAACTCGTTGCTTTTTTAACTTTTTTTTTCAACCTGTGTAAAGTATTTTATGATTTCGAAACACAAGTTTTTGAATGACTTAATTATGCTGACGTTAATTTCTTTCAGGATACCCTTTTAGCCATCCAAGCGCTAACCGAATACAGTGTCCACTCAGGACAGAGAGAAGGTACTGATATCACACTAACAATCGAATCATCATCAACTCCAGGCTTTGTGAGACAGCTTCACATTGGTGATGACAATCTTTCAAAATCTCAAAGTATAGAGGTGAGTGTTGAAAACTTAAATTATATTTACATTTCAATTTATTTTCTCCCCCTATATCAAAAACGAAATATTTAAAACAAGTAAAATACCCGCAAGTTTTGTTGTTGCTGTTAAAAACATTTGATATTTTGTTTTATCACCACAAAGATACCGAATGGGTGGGGAGCTGTGATTGTAAAAGTCCAAGGATCTGGACTGGCCATAGTCCAATTGTCTAGTCAGTACAATGTGGATTCACCGAAGTTGCTGACGTCACCACCAGTAAACGCATTCTCTTTATTGGTTCGTGGTCATTTTTTCGGAAGAAACAGTTCGCATATAACATTCCAGACCTGTCAGAGGTAGGTTCCCTGTGAAGTCGTTTGACTTTACTCCTGTGGTGATAATTACAATAACATTGAATATTAAGGAGTATAAACTCTATCAGAAGGACAATTATCTTCTTTTAGAGCATAGAGCAGTAGGTAGATTGCCAGTTACACGGACATTTTTGTTTCAAACTCTAAGCTTTTATCTCGGTAAACATTAGAATGTGAAGTTATTTTAAGGCATGGATTATTTTTCTTTTCAACACCCGACTTCTACTCCTAATCAGGAAATTCTTTCGAAAAAAAAAAGTTAATACTGTATATTGTTTTCGTTTTCTGAAGGTGGACCAACCAAGCCGAGAGTCAGGAAAGTGGTTTAGCAGTATTAGAGATGAGCATTCCTACTGGGTATGCAGTTCTTCAGCGAGAACTTGACAGCTATGTTCAGTCTGGTCAAGTTAAAAATTTGCGACAAGCAAATTACAGGACAAGAAGAGTTTTCTTCTACTTTGATTATGTAAATATTCCTTCATCTTTTATTATTTTGATTATGTAAGTGTTCCTTCATTTTTTATTATTTTGACTATGTAAGTGTTCCTTCATTTTTTATTATTTTGA